ATGGCTTTACTTTGAATGGTCGAGTCTTAACTGTCATCTGTAGATGCAGCGATGAACTGTGTTTACTGACAATAGTTTTCCAAAGTGTTCCTGAGCCCATGTAGTGATATCCTTTGCACAGTCATGTTGGTTTTTAATGCAGTATCGCCTGAGGGGTCAAAGGTCACAGGCATTTGGTGTTGGTTTTCAGCATCGCCCTTTACACACACAGATTTCTCCAGATTCTCTGAATCCTTCGATTCTATTATGCATTGTAGATGGTAAAATTTTTAAATTCCTTATAACTGTGCTTTGAGAAACATTGTTCTTATACTGTTGGACTATTTGTCACTATTCACCACAGTTTACAAAGTGGTGAACCTTTCATACCCAATCATGATGCTTTAATCTGTTACCAGTTAACCTGTTTACCTTTTGAATGTTCCATGTATTTTCAACTTCCCTTGTCTTTTATTGCTCCTGCTACTTTTTTTGGAGCACATTGTAGGCATCAAATTTAGAATTAGTGTATTTAAGTAGAGTCCCAACTTCTTTGGAATCAGGGCTGTAATTTCCTGGTGGCTGAATATAACCATTAGAAATGAACAGAATATAGAGACAAGAATAGTTAGATATCTTTTATTATTGGTCTCACCTATCTCTCCCATTATAAACACTTCCTCTACACCTCCCAAACATCAATACGCCACTTAAGACAAGCAGCTTGTAAACATTTTAAAAAGCATCAAACAAATAGAAAACTGGACAAAACAAAGCAAGAACCACGTGTCGTTTCTTTTTTAAAGGAGATTTTACATTTCAAGGTAAGTATAAGGAGAACATCATCAGAAAATACAAATGAAGAAATACGCAAAAGACAAGTCCTACAAGAGTTAATGGAGGAAAATTACAAATGGGCTTCAAGGTTATCATTCAGCTATTTAATAGTTTTCCCCAATTCGATTGGGCTTTACTATAAATTCAAATAAATAAATGTTGTGTGGTACTGCCTAATCACAAATCCTTGAATATTTATTGTAAAAGATCAGATTTACTGTATAAAATACGAAGTGCATAATTTATCCTCACTTTTGGAAAATAAACATTTCTCAGTTAGCAAATGTCAACATTTCAAAGAGGAAATCTGAGTCATAAAAAAGCGACAGAATCCAATACTGCAGGAACCCCGGAGTCTGAAGTGCAAACGTTCTATCACAACATCTGCATGTACAATATCAACACTATCAAAACACTTTACATATAAAACATAGGTTTAGATTTCTCCCCATAAGGCCTTGATTCCCAGAACTAGCCAATGCCACCATGGGGCAGCCACCTCCCAAATCCACGAGAGGAAAACAACATAAAGAAACACATGCACAAAGAGAACATTAAATCAGAGAACCCCAAACAGCATCTAACTATCTGGCCGTTACAAAAATAGAAATTAATCTTAAAACTCTATCGGTGTTACAGGAAAATTAATGATTA